CTAACTATTCTATGATTCTATGATTTCTATAGCTTTGCTAAAAAAATCTCAAAACTATAGTCTCAAAGATATCTTTTCTGTATTTCAGAAGATGATGAATATGTGGCCACTATTCAACAAGTTAACAGGTAAATCAGATACGATGCAGCAAGTATCAAAGCCATAGAGACAAAGGACCTTACCTCTAATGGCTACTTCTAAAGCCAGAGAAGATTCTGCTAAGCTAATTGCCTTGCAGTCTCAAGACTGCAAACTTAACTAGTATGTTGGTTTCTGCTGCTTTTTTAACTACTTAATAAAATTACAGAAATAAAAGCAGAAAGTTAGCAGTGAGGCATGAAAAGCATCTGGACTGTTAAAGTGACTTAATGTAAAACTGAACCTGTATTAAGCATGTGCTTATTCCTCAATAGTTTAAAATTCAGAAAAAGCACAACGTTTCTGTTAATCCTAAAAGTAACAGTAGTCATATACCTGGAGATGTCTAAAAAATTCCTTGAAAACAAGCATTTCGTGTCTCAAGATTGATTTTGAATCACATCTTAATCTCCACCTTCAGTGAAAAAACTAAAATCAACTTGGTTAATACAGAGTTTTATATATATAGCAGTATATATTACTTTTTAAAAGTAGAAAAGTATAACTTTACAGTTTGCAATGAAAAAAGGTATTTGAATAACTAATGTTTGGTTTTTTTCTCTTACCATATCCTGCCATAGAGGCTCCACCGCCACCATTCATTAAGTTCTTATTTTCTTCTGCCAGTGCTTTGACGTATCTTTTGCTTAGATCTAGTATCTGTCCACGCAACTCTGCGCTACTTTGGCGTCTTGGGTACTGAAAAGTGTAGCGTAGCAACATCAAACCCCAGATGATGCCAAAAACCAGTAAAAACATGCTCAGTTTTTGGGACATATTTTTTCTTGAAAATGTTAGAAACATTTCTGATGAAGGCCACAGGCGTGTCTTAATTTCAAGATAAAGAACTGAACCTGGCTTTGTCAAATTATATTACATTATAAACAAAAATAAGATTACTATGAAGTGAAAAATCTTCTGTTTTGATCATCTTGAATACATCTTCTCATGTTGTAGTTGGTCTGGACTCCTGAAATTTGTAAAAGATCACTTGGTTATTCAAAACTGCTACAGTTGTAAAGATCAAGGACAAATACCAGTCATCTTCCCATCTCACCTGCTGTTTATAAGTTTTCCTTTTATTTTACAAACTTTTATTATCCAAACCCCAAAACTTCTATGCTTCTACGAATCACCTAAAGTATTTTAAGTACCATAATTTGAACTGACATTAAACCCAAATGCATTTCAAACAAAATGCAATATCTAGAAGAGACTTGTAAGGGACTTATACAGAACATTTTGATAAATGTTACTTGTCTACACACAAAAAAAAAAGATCTTGTGAAATTCTTCACTTGATACTTATTCCTCATTTAGAAGCACAGGACAAGTATAAACAGATAAAATGCAGAACAAAGTTTCTTGTTAGTTAGTTCCTTTTCTGGTTTTGTACAGCATTAAGATTCTTCTAGGTTTTGTATCTTGCTAATAAATAAATAAAACCAAAATTCATTGGCACATTGCACCCATTTTTAGCATTTTACTACCACTTTAAAAATGTCTTACCATAGCAGCCAATTATGATAGCTTAATAGGTTAAGGCTTCAGGAGAAAAATAGATGGTAGGAAAGCTTCAGCAGTTAAACAGCAAATGTCCAGACAGTTTGAAGCAATATGAGCCAGACATCTTCAGGGAGCTCTGCACTGGGGGAGAAAAAAAAAGTACAAATTAAACAAAACTAAGTGCAGGACTAAACAGACCTTCATTTTCATGTGGAGTGGTTGAAGTTTAGGGCTTCAAACCCTATGCTTTTAAGCCAGAAGTTTTTAACTTAACTTGGAGGGAAGAACATAGAATCCATTTCCATTTTATTACAAATGCATACATTTGAATGCCCAATGACCGATTTCAACACACTTAAAAAAAAAAAAAAAAAAAAGTAAGACTCTCACTAAAATGTGTCCCTCTTCATGTGCTACAAGGCAGTGACAGCAGATGTTCCAGATTCATCATATATGATATGTATGTACATATATGCCTATATACATTCTCTTACTCATTTTTCTCCCCCAAACAACTCTGATCTTTTCAGATTCTTTACATGTGCATACCTCGTATTTCTCCGTTTCAGCCACCTCTGAAACTTCAGTTATTCAATATTTTTGAGAGGGCATTTCTATTATTTAACACAGTCTGGATAAAGCTACTCATTTTACATAATAGTTACATTTCCCTTGTTATTCCCCATTCTTCCCCACATACCACCTGACATGAGTGCTTTTCAGAGTGAAGTTACACATTTAACAGAGCTCCCCACCAGACTTTCTATAGTGGTATTTCGGTCTCTGGTTTTATTGGACTACTGAGATGGAATTTCTTATCCTCCAAAGCACTCATCTAAACTTAACTCTGCCTCCATGGCATTTTCATTGCCTCTCCTGACCAGTACAACTGGCCTTATGCTGACACACCACAGTCTGCTGCAAACCCAAGTGTCATTGCCAGCAGGGTTTGGAGTCGTGCTTGTCACTTACCCTTCACCTTCACTCCTCAGATAATGTTCTCAATAGGCAGGCCAACGTGACTGATTCAAGTAGCATATTTTCAAAGTGCTCTAAAATCAACATGTATATCTAAATTATTCTGAAAATTATCAGCCCAAGGCAGGGGCAATATTAGGACTTGGATGCCAAAGCTGCTGTAAAGTAACAAGTTACTGTATGTAAAATGCCCTAAAGTAACTGCCACTACATAAAATCTTACTGTTGCCACTGCAAGTGGCAATCACGATTCACTTAATGAGGAATAGCTTACTTCACTTTAACAGTGGGGTATGACCGTGCACACGGACAGATGCCAACATGCAATAATTTGAAATCCCACTGTAAATTCAGTGGGGTGTACTTTGGTCAAAGACTGTGCTTACCCTCCCCCAAAATACTTAAGACATAAGTTTGTCTTAAGTACATAAGAGAGGAAACAGTAAAAACCTTTCTACAGTATCAGCATGGGTATTTGGAATTGTGTGGTTAAAGAGTTCCTAAACAGATCCTCCCTAAACATGAACTAACCAAAACTTCTTTTCCCTAGCTCTTTGGCAAATCCATGGCTCTGCACTCAGACTTCAAAGATTAAACTGTACCTACATCATTATGCATCTACACAATCCCTGAACAGTATGAAATATGATGGAACACATTTACATATAAGGTCCAGGAGTAGGGTATTCACATGATGATTCAGAAGACCAAATAGTAGCTCTCAAGGAGAAACCACAAGTTTCAACCCCTATTCCCAGAAGTCTACATTCTGTATTATTTAAAAAAAAAAAAAAAAAAAAAAAAAGTTTGAAAATAACAGATAGCTCTTGCAGAATTTAAACAAAGTTCAGCTCGCCACAGATCTCCAGTCGTATGTATCTCATTCTGAGGCCTTTAGACCATCTCACTACAGAGCTTTGGAATGGAAGTAACTCAGCATCACATTGTAAGTAAGACCACAAGCCAGGACAAGAGGCTGAGCCAAGAGGAACAGACTGCATAAACTCCTGCCAAGGAGCAGCAAGAACTGCTTTCAGGAATTGCAGACTGGGTCTCTGCCACGTGTATTTGATTCACAGTGCACATGCCAACTACTGAAACTAACGGAAATCAAGGATTTAACCTGCTGGGCAAATGGCATTACACCCAAATTCTGACACAGGTCAAAGGAACTGGGAATAAGGTGTATCAAAATGAAGGGAACTATTTGTACTTAATTTGTACTTTGTGATCTTAAGGTCCTTTCCAACCCTAACTATTCCATGATTCTGTGATTCTACTTGTCACTTTTCCTATGCATTTTTAGAGGCCATTCCCCCTGACTGAATTCCAGTGTAATTTCAAACTTCTGGAGATTGGGCACTGAAGCATGCCCTTCTAGTGACCCGTAACACACTTCCTGCAAGAGCCTTCCAAGAGTACACGGTGTGGAGCAACAATAAAAATAAAAGCAAGCTTACACCCATGTGGTCTGCAAGTAGGAAATCAGGGTATTGGAGCAGCAGGTGTACCTATTAGGAAGAAAATAGCACAATAAGTAAGAGGGATAGATTGGAATATTCTTTTACCTCTTGTTGCCCTGACGGGTCAGCAACTTCTCTACATGAACATTATAGTTTAAACAAAACTTGTCCTCAGAATGGACCTTTGATTTTAGTAATTCGGAAGTAATATCCCATGAGATAAAAGCATACATGTGAGAAGGGAACCCTATCTCTTGTAATCTTTCCATGCTCTCATTCTTCATATTCTTCCTTATCCACCACTCCCTGAGCAGGGAAAAAATGAAGCTGAGATTTCCTTCTTCACACCAACTTATCCTGGGTAGGAACCCAACCTCATTCCTCTCTACAGAGACCAACAGGAAAAAAGGGCACAACAGAGCTCCCCTTTGTTGGAATTCCTACCATCCGTAATCATAGAGACTGAGACAAAAGGAAGTTGACCATGAAGATGTAGTACAGCCATGACAAAATTTGAAAATCTGAGGAGAGAAAGGAAAAAACAAGAACAAACCCAAACAAGGTTGAAATCAAACAAAAACCAGCCAACTAAAACAAACAAAACAAACATACCAAATGAAACTGCTGACCTGACTATGCAGGCAAAATGTCAATCCAAGAACAGATAAAGAGGAGTGTATCTTCCAAACAATCCTTTCAATAGGCAGCCTGAAGTGACTGACTCAAGTGGCAATTTCTCAAAGTTCTTTAAAATCAACATGCGTATCTATATTATTCTAAAAATTTAGACTTTGGAACTACAAGCAATTCCTGAACAGAGTATCTGAGATTAGGTTTGCCTTTCACAGACATATAAAAAGTTTGGTTTTCTTCACTGTTGCCACTGCCAGTTGTCTAACTAACGTACTGGCAAAGCCTGCCAATGTGGATTTAACATTGTCCAGCAGTACCACAACAAACACTGACGTACATCTGGCAGTCAAAGCGGTGAACTAAGGCACTCAGCAACTCCAAAACAAAATCTTGTCTCTACCCTCAGAGCTGCATTCCAGCATCAGTCATGTATAAATTATATTACTGAGTGCACGAAACTAAAAGAACAAGGGACAAAGAAAAAGCAACAGAAAATCCATTACACGTTCTGTAATAAAGCAGAGTTCTAGTATCTGTGATGGTACTTAACTGAACAGCAGCAGCAGCATTCAGTTTGGATACTGACCTTTCACCATGGAAACCAGCCCATACTTAGAAAACATCGTACTTGAAATTTATTGGAGTCTTTCTCGGATTCTGCTTTACTTACTCCTAGCAAAACCCAGAGATGATATTTATGTACCACACCAAAAATGCAAGAGTCTGTAAGGCAAAGGAATTCCCCAGACATCCTCTGAAACATCTCAGGGTATCATGAAAACCAGGCATACCCAAATCCTTAAAAGGTTACACTGCACCTTACAGCACCATCAGTTCTGCTATGAAAGACCAGGACATATTTGTCATCGTTTTTCTATTCTGTATGAGACATTTCTATTAAATTCATTGCAGCAAACATCTCGCAGTACAGCAAGGTTGCTGTATTAATAAACAATAAGCTATGCTGTAAACAGGCATGATGATACCTCACTGCAATAGCCAGCCAATGTTTCAGGAAGACAAAATTCACATGGGATTACAGAATACCAGGAAACGTTCTCACTGTTTTATCAGCTCTATCCTATCAATTTTCTTTTTTGCATCTATTTAGGGTGAAGCCCTCCCTCAGCCCATTTACCTCTGTGACCTCCAAAATCTTTTATTTTCCGATTATCCAACAGAAAACTCACTCAGTCACTCAGCTGCCAGACATTGTGCTGACTA